AGCTCACATGTGAGACAATGCACGGATCAGAATTCAAACAATTAGATTATGAGCGCTTTAACCTAATTAGTGTATTAATCCACTAATATGTATTAACTAGGTAGTAACTATAGGTAGGTAGGTAGGGTGTGGCTGGAGGATGTGGGTCACCAGGGGCATACCTTTGGGGTTTATAGTTTTCCGATGGTAAGCAGAGCTCTCTGCTTCCTGTTACCATGTCTTGAGGTGTCTTCCCCCACCATGTCCTTCCACCATGATGTTCTGCTTCACCTTGGGCCAAGAGATATGAAGACGGCCATCTATGGATTGAGACCTCTGAAACCGTGAGCCAAAATAAAATTTACTTCCTCTACATTATTCTTGTCAGGTCTTTTAGTCACAGTGATGAAAAAGCTGACTAAAACAAAGGGCACGCCCCCCAAAATCTGATCTCCTCCCACTAGACAAACAAATCCCAAAGGTTCTATGGCCTCCCATTAGTAACACAGGCTGGTGACCAGCCCTTGAACACACTTGCCTCTGGGGGACATGTATTCAGACCATAGCATTAATCAATTTTAAAAGTATATTCTTGGTAGAATCTCAGCTTTTTCTTTCCTTCAGGCAATTTTTGTAAAATCACCTCCCAGGCTTTTAGGGTAAGATTGGCCAAGTTTTTTGTTTCACCTCCACATTCTTGTTTCATTTTTGTACCATCTCAGTCTTCTCCAAACTCTAGACAGGGCTGTTGGCCTTCTATGAAGGGCATCTAACAGTATAAGGGGACAAAATGTTTGGGAAAGATATAATTGGTACAAGGAAGAATTATCTTCACTTATTTGTTTCATTAACTCTCTCTCCAGCAGAATACAATACCCATGAGAGCAGGACCTTTTTCTAAGTCTTTCTACCACTGTACCCTCCAGTATGTGGAACAAAGGTACATACCAAGCAGGGGTTAAATATTTAATGATTTAATAAATAACAACAATATGTGACACATGTGCCAGGAACCATAGAGTTTTAAATATATTAACTTATTAAACCTCCCTGTAGCTCTATGAGGTATGCATGATTAGCCACACTATAAAGTATAATCCCTGACATCACCAATGAGGATACTGAAGCACAGCAGGCTTAAGGGAACATGTCCAATATCACGCAGATGCTAAGTGACAAAACGATAAGTGTAATCCTACCACATGTGCAGTTTTGTTCCCTTACTTAAGTCTAAGAATTTTTAATATCAGAAGCACCTTAGTTACTCTATATCCTGCCCCTATTCCTTTCCTGTTAGATCAAGAGATGCTCAGTATAGATGTAAAATACCTGTAGTGAAATATGATAACACATTCATGGTAACAGCAGAGAGAGTGCACAAGCAATTCAGATCATGAGCAAGTGAATGTCATGGGTCACATATTTCATACAGTTAGGTAATAATCGCCCGAGGCTCTCAAGATTTCAGCTGATAATAAAGGGTCATTGATATCCCAGGCAGAAGGAAGGGTAATATAAAACCATCTGAGCGTAAAGTATGGAAGGAAAGTTGGGCTGCACTATCAAAACTGGGGCAGGACAGGCGTTAATGGAAAAACAAACCAGAGTAAGATTACACATGCATCTGAAAGTCACACTGGATTTCAGACTCTTCTGAGAGGAGTAGGACACAACTCCACCATAAGGCTAGTTCAAGTAGGGAACTCAGCTCAACGCGACCATACAAAAAATGGGTGAATGACACCTGAGTCTCCAATTTTCTCAGAAAATTGACACCGAATACCCCAAATTTCTCTCAGCCCAACTAAAACATCACTATAGGTAGATGAAAACTGGTCCCACTGGACGCCAGTCAGAGAATGATATTCATTACATCTGATATTTTGTCAGACTGCCGTGAAAGGACGTTCCAAGAGCAAGGAGACTTTTGATTTTGCTTTGCTATTCTCGTAAATATATGGAGACATCATTCTGTAAAACTAAACAAAACATCTCCCAGTGCTACAACACTGTTTTTTCCTATCTCCTGCCTATTTTCTCCATGAATTCACTTCCTTTACCTGATCCTTAACAGGAGAAATTACCCAAAGCTTAGTGTTTGGTCTCACATCAACTCTATATTCTCTATCCAAATCTAACCATCAGAGATTTATTTTACTAACTAAATCTCTACAACTGTGATGTCTACACATCCCTCCTGAGGAGTTCAAGTATCACCAGTATGAATTGAAACATGTGTTAGTGTAAAATATCTCCCAATATGCAAGTACAAAGGTAAAACTAGTAATTTTATATTTACTACAAATAGTATTGAGCTTATATAGAAAAACATTTACATTGAAATGATAGAATTTTGGATATTTGTCTAAATATTACTGAAATTTATTTCACCTGTTTCTTTTTAATGTGGGTTCTATAAAAATTTTAGTTACTTACATGACTCATATTTCTATTGGACTGACATGCTCTACAGACTATCTGTCTCTCAATGCAGCATGCTTAAAACTCGATCCACAAATTGAGCTCTATTACATCTCTACGCCTCAGTTTCTTCATCAATTAGATACTAATTGCAATAATCAGTCAAGGTTCATATGGGAATAAACAGTTGAGTCCAGATTCAAGTTCAGTCAGCTAGCTCTAGGGCCCCTGCTTTTAATCCCTGTCTCATGATACCTCCTCCCCTCAGAAAATGTTGCGAAAATTCAATGAGTTAATTTACACAAAACATTTCAACATTTCTCTCCACTTCCTAGGACCCAAACTGTGGGACCATCTTTTAACATTTCTTCCCTTTTCATCCACTGAATTTAGTCAGGTTTTCCCTACTCTTCCTCACAAGCTGTTCATGCACCTGCTCTTCTCTTCACAATGTCAGCCTTCCTTCACCTGTTCACACTGCATCAATCTAGAACGATAAAAAGACCACCTTTAATAGTGTTCAGGTGCCTGACATGCCTCAAATCCATTAATTCCTTTAACCCTCCCCATAACATTTCTGGTCTTTCATGTTCAAGTTCTAACAGTGTACACATGTCTTCAGCAGACCCATCTTCCTGGATCACCAATTTTATCCTATAATGAGACTGTTAAAGGTATGTGGCTTCTTCACACTTGCATCTATCAGTAGATATATGTGAGAGGTGCACGTTCTATTGGGAAGAAAGAAAAAAAAAAAAAAGACTTAACAAGGGTCAGAAAATTAAAAATCTAGCCCCATCAAAAATCTGCCACAGAGGCTGGGGATGTAACTGAGTGGTAGAGCACTTGCCTAGCATTTAGGATACACTGAGTCCAATATCCAGCACCACAACAAAAAAAAAAAGAAAAAGAAAAAAGAAAAAAATTTCCCACAGAATCAAGTACTAGCTCTGTGGCCAAATTTATAGCTGAATAACCCAGCCTCACCCTACCTATTTAATCTTATCTTCACTTCCTAACAAAAACTCCCCACAAGTCTTCACTGTCAAGTAATTCTTACTCTAAGCATTTATTAGCACAGCTCCCCTGTGCCTCAGAAATCTGAGCTCTCCCAAAAACATCCAGGCCTAACTAATCTCTCCCCTAAATTGCAATAAATCCTCCATGTCTTGCCACTCACTGTCTTTCATAAATACATATCCATCACCTTGGAAAAGACACTAAGTCCACCTTTTTCATCTCCACGTCTAGCACACGTCTGTACACAGGATACACATTAATTTGGCAAATGAGATAATAAATGAGTTGCAAGCAGTGTAAGTGAAATTATCTGCAAATACCCCAATCTAACCAACCTTATTTCCCTAACCATGAAATATCTCAAAGTCACAGAACCAAAACCCAGTCTGAATATCAAGGCCATAGTTTCCTGTACTTTCAAATCCATTATCTTTTCTGCTCATACAAACAATCCTGTGAAGGACACCTATTACACCCTTAACTCAGCTGTGGTTCAAAGTAGAGTAATTTTCCTCAAGATTACACAGCTAGTAAATGGCAAAGCTGGGACTGGAGGCCAGTTCAGGAGTCTAGTGTTCTTTCCAAGAAAGCCTGCATGAACCCTTGAACATAGCAACAGATATGGCAAATTAATGACTTTGAAAGAACATTCGCCTGAAATGGCTTCTTTTTTTTTCCTTTGACTCACCAAGGGCAAGTGATGATTTGCAAGACTGCATTTAAACCTCATGATTCTGTTAGCCTGTGAAATAAAAATTTCCATCGAACTTAAAACCAGTGTTCTTTCCAGACTCCAAAAGTTGGACCATCCCCATCCCCCGCACTTACAGTATTAGCTCTTTCTTACAAAGAATAATTACGGAAGGAAACAAACTTCTGAGGACACAGCATCTGACCAGTAAGGCCAACTGGCAGTCGTTGCTAAACGTTATAAAACCATTAGTCTTCCCACACCTAACTGTCACCAGGAATTCAGCCCTTAAACTATGTTTTTTGTCAGAATTTCTATTTAAAGCAGAGACACAAAGAAGCTCAGTTCAGGGCAGTTTCTATTCATGAATGGCCACATTGTTGGGTACCCTCCTTTCACAGTGAAACTCAGAACTGAAACAGGGAGTTGGACCCAAACCTGAGCCAAAACCCGCAGAAACGCGCTCAAGGCGCCTGCCTCAGCCTCCTCTGCAGACCTCAAGCCTCTCAGGGGAAGAAGGCAGCTCCCTCGCCGGGGTCCCAGGTTTTAGCAGTCGCCAGCTCCTTTGCAAAGAACGGTCCCGATGCCGGCTCGGAGCCTGGGCGCTGGAGAAGGGGGCGGTCTTCCCAGATGTAGATCCGACCGACCGCAGCACCCCGCCCGAGACCTCCACCTGCGCCGTGACACTGCGTCTCAAAGCCACCAAACACTCCAGCCTCAAGACGCCGCGACCCGGCTACCTACTCCACCCCATCCCCCCCGCCCCGCCACGCCACGCTCCCGGGAGGATGCAGAGGAGACCGGAGGGAGGCGGCGGCTCCGAAGGAACAGCCAAAGGTCTCCAAATGGGCATCTGCTCCTGGCCTTCTTGCCCTCTGCGCCCACTCACCCAGTTTTGCGCGTTATTGCTCAGCTTGACTTTCTTGCACAGACTCCCAGGGATCTCCATGGGTGCGGAGCGCGCGCGGATGCCGGGTTCTCAGCGCCCAGAGGGTAGCAGGAGGGCAGGCCGGCAGGCCGGCGGAGGCGGAGGCGGGGCGACAAGGCGGGGTCTCCTCGCGTCGGCGCGGGCGCGGGCGCGGGCGCGAGCCGACGTGCTCACGCGCTGCTGCTCGGGCCCCGGGACTGCGCGGCGCAGGGCCGCGCCTTGGAAAAGAGCGCTGGGCAGAGGTATTGGGGAGGGGCGAAGGGCGGGCGTGAATCCGAGGCGGGAGGTGGGGGCGGAGCTCCACGCACGCACCCACGCGAGCTCGCACCAGGCTTCTCCTTGATTCGAGAAAAGGGCGGGGCCTGGGAAGTAGTCCTAGAACTCTAGTCTGGGCCTCACCCGGCTGGCCACGCTGTGGAGAGCATGCGCACAGAGTAAGATTGCTTCTCCACCGCCGGCCGCCAGGCGCCTGGAGAAGAGCAAAGATGCACTTCTTGTCTAGCACCAGGATTTCTCAATTGAGGCTGGTTTGGAGAAGGTTTCCTGGGCTCCCATCTCTGCCTGTGTCCTCCTGGCTACGTTTTTAAAATATTTTCCAGCCTTGCAAAGGGAGGATTTAATTTAATTTAAATTTAATTTAATTTAATTTTCATCACATGTTGTGCGTTGCTTTAAAATTCTACTCAATGACAACAAATCCCACTGTTACATATAATTATAATGCACCAATAAAAAGGAGGAAAGAGCTATTCAATTCGCAATTTTTGAAAAAGCCAATGCCCCTTTTTTGTTGTTCTTTTTAAATATACATGACAGTAGAGTGTATTTTGACATAGTATACATACATGGAGTATAACTTCTTCTAATTAGGATCTCATTCTTGCGTTGTGCGTGATGTGGAGTTTTGCTGGTCGTGCATTCATGTATGAACATAGGAAAGTTATGTCAGATTCCAATGCCCCATTCTTTATATCAATAATTAATTTCTAACAGGACGATGATACAGGCCTATAAGCCCAACGACTCAGGAGGCTGAGGAAGAAGGATTGCAAGTCCAAAGCCAGTCTTAGTAACTTAGCAAGTCCATAAGCAACTTAGTGAGACTCTGTCTCAAAATAAAAAATTAAAAAGGGCTTAGGGGCGCGTAGTGCTGGGGCTGTAGTTCAGTGGCAGAGTGCTTGCCTAGCACGCTTAAAGCACTGGGTTTGATCCTTAGCACCACATTGGGAAAAAAAAAAAAAAAAAAACTTTTTTAAGGGAGGGCTGGGGATATGACTTAGTGATTAAGCACCCCTGGGTTCAATCCTCAATAATAATAATAATAAATTTCTCAGCAGGTTTAGTGATTATTTGTAAAATGCCACCCTCTCCAATAGTAGGCCCCACGTCATATCAAATTTTTGGTGCAAACCTTCTCGCCACTACCTGGTCAGAGGAGCATCTATATTACTAATTACTTAAGTAATACTTAGAGGACTGAAATTCATGGCCCCTGATATCCCAGAGTAGAATGCCCACCTCTGAAGGGCATCTTCAAATTAATCTAATTATTCCCAGGCTAGTTAATAGGATAGTCTGGGAAGTGGTTTCCTCCACCACTTACCTCCTCTCCCACCCAATCCCTGTAATTCTGTGCTCACTTTTCCACAGTTTGCCTGGGGTACCAAGGGAGTTATTTCCAGTTCTCACCCTGTGTACCCAACTTATACCCACACAAACACCAATCACCAAGACTGGTGCCTGCTGCAAATTAGAAATTAGCCTGTTATTTATTTACTTCACTGCTACTGTCTCAAATCAGGCTTCTCCATATCCAAACTGAATCATCACTAATCCCCTTCACTGGAGCTGCCCCATCTGTGCAACTGCTCTTCATTCCCATGCCACCCACTTTGTTCTTCATACTTCCCTCAGGGTGGTACTTCTGAAATAGAAATCTGATCTTGTTCCTCCTCCACCTCTTAAAATGTCAATGGTTCTCTTTAGCTTTTTCTAGAGGATTCTTTATATGAGGTCAGTATATCAAACTGAATTTCAATATAATTCTGAATTCTCCCAATAATAGGAACTGGCTAAAAAGAGGATCCCAAGTTTTAGAAGAAAAAAGCATGCCACATTTGGAATAAGTTAGTCCCCCAAGTTAGTTCTGGTTCCTATTAGAGAGAAATGGTACTTAGATATCACAAGCTAGGCTTTACAAGTGCTCAGGGCTTGTGAGTTGATCCTTATTTCTACACTTGGTTGAATACTATTATTAAGGTATAATGTATAAGTTTACATTGATAGTGTCAAATCAAATCTGTGATTTCAGACATGGGTCATGCAAATAAGTCTGAAATATCAAGTCAAAACAGAAAAAGGAAAACTAGCAAAAACCAATAGGAGTATGTGAAAAGGACTCAGAAGCCAACTTAAAGAAGTTTCCCATATCAAAGATAGCATTAGACCATTAATGTGATAACTACAAGATATTGAAAACAGATATGTTTAAATTGAGGGTTCATAAAAATGGTAATTTAAGAACTTATTATACCCATAGAAAGCACTAGCAAACCAGAATTTAGAAAACTGATAAATAAATGAAAATAATTAAACATTTAACCTCCTTCCCCTGCAATAACTGTATGTCAGGTATCAATCAATCCAAACTCAAAAACTGCAAAAGTGAAAAAAACTTTATTTGTGATCTTGGGTGTTGCAGTTTAAGGAGACACAGGTTCAGATAGCTCTGAATTGGTGTTCCAAATAAAATATAAATGTAGGGATACAGAGAGAGAACACTGAGTCTCTAAAGGAAAAATATTCCTGATAAACAATAGAACAATCAACTCATAAATAACTCATGGCCCAGATGAAGGAGCCTAAAGAACAGAACAGGGATAAGGATTTACTAAATATCCTGTAAATTCCTTTGTAACTTTCCAGTTCCTTATAAGTTTTCTGGAATGTTAGCAGAATAAGAACAAGACCTCAATAGAAAAAGATCATTAAAAGATCATAAGGGCTAACATTGATTGGACCACCCAATAGTAGATTTAAGCTGAAACCTACACACCAGACAAGACCCCCTAATGGGGAAACACAATCTTTCTTAAGATTTCCCAGCCACAGGAGAAGCCCAGGCCCTTTGGATCATACATATTCCACCAAATTGTGTGCCCTAATAAAAAACTTAACCTTAAGCCCTGGTAGCACATCTACTCTTGAGATTGCCTGAATTCTTCTCTGAGAGAATATACCTTCCTTTCTATAATATACTTCCTTCTTCGCTATTAAGACCTAACTTGTACTTAAAATTTTTCTGCGAAGGATCTAAGAACCTGGAAGGTCAAAGTAAAGGTCTCCTTCAGATCTTCTTCGACACCCCCGATATTGACACAAGAAAGACAGGGAAAGTGAGAGCTTATGGACTATTGAATTTTGAGAAGGAACAGGGGCTAGATGATGAATAAAAATATAGAGAAAAGAATGTATAAACTGAATGGAGACATACATAACAAGAGTTCAGAAACCTCTTGATATGCATCTCGAGCCACTGGGCACACTATAATTGTCAAGTAATTCTGGTCATTCCAGATGCCTGTAGTCAAAGAGGGGACCAAAGTTTATATTCCAGGCAATAGCTGAAGATATGCATAAGTCCTGCTTCCTAATAACCTCCCAAATCCATCTTAAAAAAATTCTTTCAATACTACTTTCATCACAATTTTATTTTTATTTGCACACAGGTAACCAAAAAATTCAAAGAAGTGGAAAAAAAGTTGATTAAAACACCTGTGGTCCAGCAGACCTACCTTGATGCTTACAACCCATGGGAATAAAGTCAGTATGTTGAACCCATACCTGCTCTCCCAAGCTTTCTGCAGCATTATTCAAATGATGTGCAATTAGCCTGAGTGTCCATCAGAAGAACACTGGGTAAGAAAATACAGTTGTATGTAGAGTAGGAGAGAGAAGGGAAATTGCATGGAAATGGAAGGAGACCCTCAGGGTTATACAAAAGTACATACAAGAGGAAGTGAGGGGAAAGGGAAAAATAATACAAGGGGGAGAAATGAATGACAGTAGAGGGGGTAGAGAGAGAAGAGGGGAGGGGAGGGGAGGGGAGGGGGGATAGTAGAGGATAGGAAAGGCAGCAGAACACAACAGACATTAGTATGGCAATATGTAAATCAATGGATGTGTAACTGATGTGATTCTGCAATCTGTATATGGGGTAAAAATGGGAGTTCATAACCCACTTGAATCAAAGTGTGAAATATGATATATCAAGAAATTTGTAATGTTTTGAACAACCAACAATAAAAAAATTTAAAAAAAAATAAATAACAAAAAAAAAAAAAGAAAACTTTTCAGTCTCATTAAAAGGGAAATCCTGTCATTTGTGACAATGTAGATGAACCTAGAGGCCACCATTTGAAGTGAAATAAGCCAGGCAGAGAAAGGAAAAAAAAAAAAGTTATATTTAAGGAACTTTCTCTGTGCAGTAGCATTGTTAGCAATCACTGGGTTTCCATTGGGTCACAAGCTTTTGGAAATAGCCCAAAAAGAAGAATTCGTAATGAAATTTGGGAATAAGCTAACCCTCCCTTGGATCCCCTTGCTGCCAGGGTGTCAGGGTGTTGTCCTTTACAGGCAATCCTGTTGGTAGAGACACCACCTAATCCATTCCTCATGCTATGCTGCCTTGGTGATCTTTAGACACTGCACTCCTCAGTTCATCATTTTAAAGAGCACAAAATAAGAACAAGACGGCAATAGAAAAAGATAATTACCTGGTAAGGATAAAGGCTAACATTGATTGGACCACACAACCACCAGGGATGTTGATATAAGCTGAAACCTACACACCAGGCACCTGCGTGTGGTACCCAGGCCCATCTCTGATCTGGCTTCTGTTGCTGTTTCTCATCCCATCAACCTCCTCTCACTGTTGTCTCCCACAACATTTAGGAAGCACCCGCTGCAGCCTGCTGCATGTGCACAGGACAGATCCTCTCTTCCTCTGGCATGAACCTGGGGGAGGGCTACCTCTGTCATATCTGGACCCAGGACCATTTCCTTGTCAAAAGGCCCAGA